CGCCCGTCGGCCGAGCGACGGGGTCGTTCGCCGCGCGGCGCCCGTCGCCCTTCCCGCCGCTCGTCCCGTCGCTCGTCGCGGCGCTCTTGCCGTCGCTCTTGCCGTCGCTCGTGTCGCTCTTCCCGAAGGACGCCGGCACCGCGAAGTCGCGCTCGAGCCGCCGCACGCGAAACGTCTCGACGAGCTGGTGGCTCAGGCTGTCCCCGAGCGAGAGCACGCGGACGCCGCCGAGCGTCGCGCAGAGCTCGGCGGCGCCCATCATCGACAGCGGCGCCGCGTCGCCCGCGGGGCGCCACTGCCACCGCCAGGAGTTGTCGTCGCGGCACTTGACGTCGCGCTGCATGTGGCCCTCGTGGAAGCCCGGCACGAAGCTGAAGAGGCGCCGGTCGTACGGCGGCGCGGTGTAGGAGTCGTTGAGCTGCCACGTGCCGACGTACGGCCGCGAGGCCGTCGTGGTTAAGACGACCGGGAGGAGCCACAATGGGCTCCCCATCATCATCGCGTGTTTTGAATGCACTTTTTTGGTTGCGCATCACTCACTCGAGTCAAAGGGCCGGCGCCACACAGGCCTAAAGTTCTCTAGGGGCTCCAGTGCACTGGGAAGCCGATCCGATGGGCAGCGCCCGACTTTGACAGCCGCGTTCGGCGGCTCGGTCCGCCGGGCGCCCCGGCGGCCTTCGAGCCCGCGCCGCGCCGGTGGGCGGTCTTCGACGCGCCGCTCTCGATCTCGAGAGACGAGCACGATTTCGGGGCGAACGGGGCCTCTGGATCCGGGCCATTTCGACGCGTCGAGGGGCGATATGTCGGTCCTGGTGCAACAAAAACACGGCCTCGCGCGGGGAATCGCGAAGGTATAGTGTCGCGATGGGATTCCCCGCGCGCGGCCGTGTTTTTATCTCCATCATCGCGCGCGCGCGCGTGGCAGCCCCGGCGGTGCGCGTCGAGCGCTCCGAGTGGTCGTCGTGGTCAGCGCCGGGCCCAGCGGACGATCTACGCGGCTGAGGCACTCGAGGGGTGTCTGAGAGGGTCTCGAAGCGGTCGCGGGTGTCCCCAATGCGCGTTTCTCGGGTCGTTGACCAGGTTTGAGCCGCGGCGCGCGTCGTGCTTGGCAGCCCGTCCACAGCCGAGTTTCGGCATGGATGGCTGCTTTTCAGCTTTGGTCCTCCAGCTAAGTTAGTTATATATGAGTTACCTTAGGCCAGTCTCCCGCCACAGGGGGCGCCGAACCAGCGTGCTCGCGCACGACCTGAAGTCGCCGCCGCCAACCGACACTGGATGGGACGGGAGCCGGAATGCGCCACCGTCAAGCCGTGCACGGACAACGTCGCGCCGGACTCCCAGACGAGCAGCGGGCCCGCCATGGTCGGGCTGGGGGGCAGCGACGACGGCGCGAGCTGCGGCA